TACAACAGCTACCATCTGGTTGGTCAGGGGAGTACTCCTGTACCGTGACCAACGACAAGGGAGAATCACATAGAAGCCAGCCACTTGTTATTAGTATTATTGGTAAGACTTCTATTACCTCTTTGACAGCTGTCTTATGTGTGTTTAAAAGGGGGAGGGGTCTATTTCTTATAAGGAAACTGTTTTCCCTGATAAATGTTTTAGTTTTCTTTCCTGATATTTAGACTTTCAAGTGATGAGATAGTATTCACATAGTTGCCAATGGCATTAAACGACAAATAACACCTTAAAAAAGAAAACTCGGTTTGAACGTTTTTCAACCCTTCCTCTGAGACGGGGCCGATTTTTCGGCCCACCGATCGTAATAAGACTGTTTATTCATATATTTCTGTCCCGATTATTTAAACTTTGAAAAAAGTCTCTTGGAAAAGTATCAATCGTAATGGGTGGATTCCGTAGTAAACATTTTTAACAGACTAACTGACTACCTGGCTTTCACTAGAAAATGTAAATGCTTTCTGTTTGACCGGTGAATTCGCAGGAATATTAGTCTTTTCAATCGACTCCAACCGAAATGAAATCAGTGCCAAGAATGGCTGAACTGCCATGAGGGCGTTACGTTTGTTTGAAGTGTTTGAATCAGACGACAGGGGCTAAGATGGGGATTTTTTAAGGGATATCTCAAGACAAAGATATCAGTAATGGAAGAAGATAGGATGGTAGTGAACAAGAACCTGTGCGTTAGTACACAGAGAGATCTTGATTTAGTATGCTGAAAATGTAATTGGCTTCGTGTACATGACAAACAGATAAATAGACTGTACTGCCTATACAGTCTCAACCTGCAAATAGAGCTCCATTGAATGGTGCACTAAACTCTCGCCAATATCTTTGGTTTGATCGTGTTCCTTCCCGCTGTTTTGGTTATTTGTTATTATTAGCAATGTGCACCTCAAATACAACCAAAAAATAATTTATTAAAAAAAAATCACTTTCCAGAAACATATTAAATAGTCACACAAGACTTAATAGATTACATTTTTATACTTCTTGAAATGGCACAGAATTTGCTATCTTTACGTTTTTCCACTTGTTATTTTTTCATATTGAATACTTATCTCCTGGAGAACAGTAATACGATTTGCATGTTATCGCTTTTATCAGCTACTTGTGTATAATTTGTCCAATGCGTTTTCAGAACTTATACAGTTTTGTGGGACTCGTGTATTGAATTGCATATTAGATAGTTAATTTTCTCATGAACACTTGTTTAGTTGTTTGTTTAGTAAGGTTTTACGGCGCTCGCAACTGCATAAGGTCACATGAGCGCCAAGGGGTTGATGTCAACAGAGAAGGCCAAACGGAGAATCAGGCTTAGTCTGCTCACCTCTCTAGCCTCAACAACACAAAGTCTACTTCGACTATTAAGGCATCCCGGAAACAGCAGTTCACAAGAAAGTGACAAACATACAAACGAAGTGGAGGGAAAATGACGATAGTAAGGATGAAGAAAGAAGAAGCAGAAGACCCCCCTAAGATATTCCTGCACAGTATGAACATGACGTTGATAAGTCAACCCATTTACGAGGTCTGTCTCAGAATAAAGTTTCCCACCTCCATAAAATCAAAAGTACGCAACCAACAGCCACTAAAATTTCTGACCTCATGATATCATATCTAAAAGATTTCAACCCCATATTGCAAGTGCATTGGTGAACGGGTCATAGAGCTGTGACGTGTAAAGTTTGGTGTTCTTGTGCACGTTGTCCAAGGCAAATTTGAGGAAAATGGCTGAGCAAAACATTGGTGCAACCTTCTCAAGCTACGATGTCTGAGATGTGATCAAATTTTCAACTCTTCTCGGCAAGTCTGCAGTTGAAACCCATGGTGATCTATGTGGTGTTTTACTTACTGTCATCCGGGGCTACTTAGGCCACTCGGGGTAACTTAAACTACTTACTATTAGTTACAAAGAACGGTCTGTACTAAGGAACAGATTTAAACGTGCAGCCATCATTGTGTTCAGCAGGCCAACCTCAAGCCAGATTTATTCGAGTAGTACAACCAGTTGTAGATGTCCAGTACAATGCCTGGTTGGCTAATTGATTATACCACATCTCTCTTTCTTGAGTTTGGAACAGAAGACACACATTACAATTAAATTCTTTAGTGAGGATAGACTCCACAGAGTCTTTATGCTTTAAGAAATTAAAGGAATAAAACAAAGAATTAGATTAAACAGAAAAACAGACATCGAATTTCTGTAGTTATATAAAAGCAAGAACTTGAACTTGAGACTTTATGGTCAGCTTGCGATAAGTGGGAAACAGTTTATCAGTGCCTCACAAATTCAATGTCCACTGATCAAATGTCTTTGCGTAGGGCTTTTGTAATTAAAGTATTATTCAGTAGACGAGTATGAAATTCCATCTAAATGTGTATGTTTCAAAATTTAAACATTCTTTGAAATAGGATGCATGTCTAATGCACCTGTGAATGCATTCTAAAGCGTTTTATATGTATGCGAAATTTCTCATCTTTAATGTATGTTGCAATTGTTGTGACCAGAGTGCTGTATGGCTACACATCCTAACAAAGGTCAATTTCTGTTACACACAAAAGCATGTATGTGTGTAGGCCATCGGCCCTAGAGTGTTAATTTTTGTGGGGGTTTAATCTCTCGGCCACTTAGTGTTGTGTAATGTTTTTGCGTTGCTCACTATGGGTGTGTTACAGCATTGTCTGGAGGGTGTCTGTCATCTGTTTGACTTAGTCTGTCTCTTGGAGTTGAGATCAGCGATGTAGCCACATGTGTTGACTTCCCTTCATCAAACGGACAAAGGCTTCGTCTGCGTAGATGGAATCGATTTCGTCTTTTCATCCCTCTTGGAGTGTCAACTAGATAAGACCTCTCATGTACATCTCCTCCTCTTGATTGATAGGGTTTGAGGATTGATTCTTTTTTAAAACTTTGGTTCTGTAATCCAGACAGTTTCGTTTCGTTTGAATTTCTGAAGTCTTTTACCGCCATGCCTTCTGTCGAAATAGTTCTTCTGCTGTTTCTTCATATGTTTATCAGCAGAACGAAACTGCTTCAACTTCCGGCCCTGAGTTTTCAGTTGAGATGGCAGACTTGGTAATTTGGTTCTCAACTGTCTTCCTTGCAAAAGTTCTGCTGGGCTTTGTCCTTGTTTGAGTGGAGTTACTCTGTAGTTGAGAATGGCAATTTAGGGGTCATCTGCTTTTCGAAGAAGATTTTTCACAGTCTGTACAGCTCTTTCAGCCTCGCCGTTCCCTTGTGGATGTTTTGGACTGCTCGTTTTATGTTCAAAGCCGTATGTTTCTGCAAAGTTTGCAAACTCACATGAAGCAAACTGGGGTCCGTTGTCACTTATGACAATATCTGGTATTCCATACTTGGCAAATATAGACTTTGAGTGTTCAACCACAGTTGACGACGTTGTCTTTCTGAGTAGGACTATCTCTATCCATGGGGAGAAATAATCGACGATCAACAAATAATCATGGCCCTTCCACTCAGAAAGGTCCATACCAACCCTTTGCCAAGGGTAATCTGGCGTGACAGTTGGTTTCAGGGGCTCAGGTGATAGCAATCAGTATTTTTCGCAGATAGAGAATTTCCGTACTTCCTCTTCGATCTGGTGTGAAATTCCTGGCCACCACACTGAAGACTTGGCAAATACACGAGACTTGACAACTCCTTGGTGACCTCATGGATTCTTCGTTGGATTTCCGTTTGCATCGATGTTAGAATCACCATCCTTGCATTGTACAGGAGTAGCCCATGGGCCACGGTAAGTTCATGTCTCACAGTCCAGAATGACTTCAGCCTTAGGTCTTTCTTGCGGTAATCAGGCCAGCATCCAGATTTGCAGTAGCTGTTAACTTTCTGACAAATTTCATCATTGCCCTGTTCCATTTTGATCTCTTCAAGTTTCGTTTTAGAAGCTGGGAAGCTTTCTATGACTGCTCTGACAAATGAGTTCACTGCATCCTCTCGTAAGCTATCCTTTTCACTTGTTTCTCTCAGGGGAGCTCTGGACAAAATTTCAGCTGCATGCACATTCTTTCCTGCAGTGTGAAAAACAGTGTAGGAGAATGGCATTAGTCTCATTCTGAACCTCTGGATTCTAGGAGGGAGGTCATCGAGTCCTTTCCTCTGAAGGAGTGTTTTCAGTGGTTTGTGATCTGTTTCTATTTGAAATGTCTTCAATCCAATCAGGAAATCTGAGAATCTCTCACAAGCCCATGTGATCCCTAGTGCTTCTTTCTCTATTTGGGTATACCTTTGTTCTGTACCACTCATAGACCTTGACACATATAGCACTGTTTTCCAATGCTCGCCATTTTTCTGGAACAGTACCCCTCCTATGCCAGACTTGCTTGCATTAGCAGAAACTTTTGTCTCAAGGTTTGGGTCGTAGTAGGCAAGAACAGGAGTCTCAGTCAGCGCTCTTTTTATTTTCTGAAATGCCAGTTGATGCTGTTCATTCCAGATCCAAGGACAGTTTTCTTTCTTCAGAAGCTCCCTCAGAGGCGCTGTCATGCTTGACAAGTTTTCAATAAATTTGCCTACATGATTTACTATGCCTAATAGCCGCCTAATGTCTGAGACGTTCTCTGGTTGAGGCAAATTTGTAATGGCCTCGATCTTATCTGGATCAATTTCAATCCCATTCTGTGATAATATATATCCCAAAAATTTCATCTTATCTGTTAAGAACATACATTTCTCGTTGACAGTGACACCGGCATCTTTCAGCTTTCGCAACACCTCTCTAACTGTGGCATCATGCTCTTGTTTGCTGATTCCGCTAATGAGAATGTCATCGATATTGCATATGACTCCTGGTATTCCAGAAAGACGGTGCGACATCTCTCTGTGAAAAATTTCTGGACCGGATGGGATCCCGAAAGGCATTCTTCTATACGCGAAGCTTCCAAAGGGGGTGATGAATGTCATGAGTTCTTGAGACTCTTCAGAAAGGGGGACGTAATGAAATACCACTGTTGCAGTTAAGCTTAGAGAAAACTGTAGCGCCTGACACTGAGCCAAAAGATGCTCTGTAGTAGGCAAAGTAGCAATCTCTCTTCACTCCCTCGTTCAGTTTAGAAAGGACCACACAGATCCTAACCTTGCCCTCTTTCTTCCGGACCACCACGATGGGAGCACACCATTGGGTTGATGAATCAATCTTCTTGATGATTTCATCTTCTTTGAGTCTCTTTAACTCCTGTTCCACTTTCTTGTGAAGAGGTAAGGCCAGTCTCCTTGGGGTTGCCACTGAAAATGGAATTACACTTTCTCTCATTTCGATTTTGTATTCTTTCTTTAGCTTACCAAGGCTAGTAAATAATTCTGGAAATTCTTTCTTGAAATCAGATTCGCGTTTCAAGACATTGATTCTTTTCAACATGTCCAGTTCTTTTATTGCAGGTTTCCCAAGTAGCGGTTGTGGAAGATTTTCCAACACATAGATCTTCTGTTTGGCACAATTTCCTGTATCCAATTTCAATTCTGCTTGGAATTCTCGAACAATCCTGACTTGTTCACCTGATGGTCCATACAGTCTCTTTTGGGATCTGCAGATCTTGGTGTTTGCCGGGACACAACTTTTGGGTATAACCGTCTTGTCAGCACCCGTGTCTAACTTGAAGTCTATACTCCTTTCATTGACTGTGACATTAGCTTGCCATTGGTTTTGCTGTCCTGGTCCAAACACTGCTCCCAAGTACCCTTTTTCTTCGTCTTTCAAAATGTTCGCTCTGTTCTTGTATGGTTTCTTGGAAGTAGTTTTGGGAGTCCTACATACGTTTGAAAAGTGCCCTTTCTTCTGGAAAGAACGGCAAATTGCCTCTTGTGCCGGACGTCTTCTCCTCTCGTGCTGACGTCCACATCGTCCACATTTATGTGCCGGTATGTGGGGTTTCAATTTTGAGTGATTCTGGCTGTTTCTGTACTGGGTTGGTTTTCCGAGTTTATTTACTTGTGGTTCAGTAGATATAGACATTGCCTGAAGCTGTGTTTTAGCTTTTTCCTGTGCTCTGTAGATATCCAAAGTTCCACTTTCACTCAGTGAGAGCTTCTTCTGTTCTAGAAGCTTTTCTCTGATGTCGTCATTTTGTATTCCAATGACAAGCCTGTCTCTAATCATTCGATCTTCTTCGACGAAATTGCAGCGTTTTGCCAGTTGGCGCAACTCTGTGACATAAGAATCAATAGTTTTGTACTGTTTCTGGTTCCTCTTGTGGAATTTGTACGATTCGAATGTCTCATTGACTTCGCCAATGCAATACTCATCGAAAGATTTGATTATCTGATCTAGATCTTCTCTCTCCTCATCTGAGAGCCTCATTCCATCGAGTGCGTCGAGCGCCTCGTCTCCTATGCAGGTCATAACTCCATTGGCTCTTCTCTTAGTCTTGAAGCAATTTGATAATTATTCCACTGCCTCTAGAATTTCAACCAGTTCTGGTGAACTTCTGTTGTATTGGAGAAGTCCAGTTTTGATGGGGGTGGCAAATTTACAGTGAAACGTTTTTGTTCTGCCATTGTCAGTGTATACTCGACTCTAGATCTAAATTCTAGACTCTAGATCGAAAGGTTCTATCAAGATCTAGATCTATGGTTCTCTGACACTTTGGCTCTTCATCTAGATCTAGACTCTATATAGATCAATACCAATGGTAATAACACACTTCTGACACCATGTGGTGTTTTACCTACCGTCAGCCAGGGCCACTTAGGCCACTCAGTGTAACTTAAGCCATTTACAACAAGTTACAAAGAACGGTCTGTACTAAGGAACAGATTTAAACGTGCAGCCATCGTTGTGTTCAGCAGGCCAACCTCAAGCCAGATCTATTCAAGTAGTACAACCAGTTGTAGATGTCTAATACAATGCCAGGTTTGCTAATTGATTATATCCCAATCTATACAAAGTAATAGCGAATAATGCCCCATTAATTCAAAAAGTAAGGAAATGGTTCGGGGAGGTTAGAGGTGGGAGGTCTGACATGAAAGATGAAGTGCACACCGAAAACACGAGGAGAGAAAGTTGATGCACATTGTTTTTTTTGACATGAGTGGCATCATAATGAGCTATCTAGTCACACCTGGCGTAACCGTCAATGGTGACTACTACAGGTTCTTCCTCAAAGACAAGGCGAGACCTGCGATCAGGAAAAAAGGACCCGCTTTGTTTGAAGAAGACGTCATCCTGCATCATGACAATGCGCCTGTTCACCAGTCCAGAGTTGTGCACGAGCTTCTTGAGGGTTACTCGTGGGAATTATTGGAACACCCGCCCTATTCCCCCGATCTCGCAAGGTGAAAGAAATGCTGCGAGGTCGGCGATTTGAGGACAAGGACCAGATTCAAGAGGCTATAAGAAAAGCGCTCGGGACCTTGGACAAACGATCACTGACCACTGTCTTTGACCTCTGGGTACATGAGATGGAGAAATGTCTTGAACTTGATGGTTCCTACGTTGAATAGGTAGTTGAATAAGTTTTCTGTGGATACCAAATACAAGTTTATTTATAATTATATGTGACGACAGCATGACAAGGAACTTTATTCTGATACATACCTAGTACAAGTCTACTACGCGTAAGAACACATTAATATCCCCCTTTTGGGAATGGCCTAAAGAAAACTTCAGCCAGTAGCACTTGAGAATTCTGGCAGTATGCATTTTTCAAAATTTGGTTAAAGATCGAAATTTGTGTAAAAAATCGTTGTAAATAATATGTTTTTCCCCATTCGCTAAAATTTTAGTCTTTTAAAAGACCTTGTCTGTGCTTGCTATTCCAGGGTTTGTGAGATTATAAATCCCAACAGGAAAACAGGAACTGAGGTAGTCGATAATATATTTTAACCTGCAATGTTTTTGTCTTACTTTTTTTTTTTACGAATATGTGCATTATTTTCTTTCCCAAAGATGTTGCAGGCAATCAAAATAATATTTGTGTCTTTTTGGAAATAACTTAAAGTTATTTCTTTTTCATAATGACAAGAGTGCTTTTCAACTTTAGCGAGAGATGAATCTCAAACGTTACTGCATTTGCCCTGCTTTTCTTGGTCCTGATGCTACTTTAAGAATGTCAAATACTTGTTGTTTTTTTCAAAAATTACTTGCACCAAAGCCACCTACACTGAGATTGGGCTCGACGCTTCAACTTGGAATTAGTCTCTAGCATCCTACCTCTGGGTTGCGTAAATCCCCCAGATTGTTTTTGTTTTTTAGGGGAGGGGGGGGGGCAGATCAAGCCCAAAAAGGGAATATTAGAATACCTATAAATGCAAATACGATAGTGTCTGGGTATTTGCTTATCTCCAGGGTAATGACTTTGCATGGGACTTAAGCCCAGAGAAACACGCCTGGGGTGGAACCTTTGTATTTTATGTATATCTCGAATAGGACCTCGCTGAGATGGCGGACAGCATAAAATGTTCTCAAATACCCCCCCCCCCTCCCCCCCCTAAAAAAAGAAGAATGTCACGTTAAGAATTTTTATTGAGGTCAGCGTAGTTCAGCGTAATATCCACCCACTGGGCTAACGACAAACACTTCTCCAAGAGACTTGAGCCAAAGATAATTGGCTAATGCCCGTGTTTCGTATCAATTCTGTTTGATTTTGTACGAACCGTTTTCCCAGTTTGAATTCGGTGCATTGGAAGTGATTTAGATCAAACCGAAAAAATGAAGGAAAAAATCGCACTATGGTCTCCATTTTTGGAAACGTTTTTGCACCTATTGTGTACATAAATGTACTTCTATAAGAGCACAGCAACACTGGTTGCATTATTATTTGGCTCCCGTCATGAAACAAATTTAATCTTGAACTCTATCTTGTCCAGGGGAAATCACAACTACACCAGAAACAACAACAACGACAACGAGGACAACAACAACAGCAGAAACAACAACAACAACAACAACAACACCACAGACAACACCACAGACAACAACAACAACACCACAGACAACAACAACAACACCAGATACAACAACAACAACCCCACAGACAACAACAACAACCCCACAGACAACAACAACAACCCCACAGACAACAACAACAACACCACAGACAACAACAACAACACCACAGACAACAACAACAACACCACAGACAACAAGAACAACACTGCAGACAACAACAACAACACCACAGACAACAACAACAACACCAGAGACAACATCAACAACCCTACAGACAACAACAACAACACCACAGACAACAACAACAACACCACAGACAACAACAACAACACCACAGACAACACCACAGACAACAACAACACCACAGACAACAAGAAGAACACTGCAGACAACAACAACAACACCACAGACAACAACAACAACACCAGAGACAACAACAACAACCCTACAGACAACAACAACAACACCACAGACAACAACAACAACCCCACAGACAACAACAACAACACTAGAAACATCAACGACACCAGAGGTGCCATCTACTGGAGATAGTAAGTAAAATTGTCCTCTTCTATATTGTTTCTTTTAGGTAATTGTAAAAAAAGAAATTTTTTTGAAATGTCTAGTGGAAGAGTCTTTCGAGTCGACTCCACAGAAATGCTGGATCAACCTTGGACTCATTTTGTTCTGTAAACCAAATTCTCAATCAGTAAAGTGGAACTGCATGCCAACAAGATAATAAGCTTATAATGTAGTAAACTTCATGCTACATTTTCTTAAGGGAATGACAATATTGTACAATATTGATTGGGAATTACATAATGATAATAATAACAATAGATTGCATTTATATAGCGCTCTATTCCATACTAGTATAAGCTCTGACCGCTTTACACTGGTCGCATAATCATTCAAACAAGAAAAAATATTTCACAGAAGTAAGAGAAACCAGTTAAACCACATAAATAAGAAGTTTAACAACCATCCATTAACTATACACGAAAGGACAGTGAAAAAGTGTAAATATATATATATGTACATGTATATTAAAAAATAAGAACTTACTAACACACTATAACTAACAATAATTGAACAAATGAGTCTTGAGCAATCGCTTAAACCTATCAAAATAAGCAAGAGTAACAGATACGATAGTATCAGCAGCACTTTAAACACTTTTTGTTGTGGTTATTATTGTATTTGATTAAATTTTCCAGAAAAAAAGAAAGAACGGAAAGAATATCAGCAGGATTTATTCAGTGAGTTCTCGAACGAAGCCCAGGGAAAATGAGGCAGTTACAGTGGCCATTCTAAAACTCACGAGATTGTTCTATTCTGGCTCTCGCTCTTCCTCCCTTATCAATGTTCTCTATTTATTTGATGTTACTCATCCGCTATTGCTTTTTCCCATAATGTTTGTGCATCCATGTATATACAATGATGCATTACGTCTGCGACATACGGACATAAACAGCTTCAAAGTTTGCTATTTTTTCAGCGGCAAATCTCTCGTAAGAAGACTCGTACATAGCTGGTCTGTCCTGCCGAATGAAAAACTTGGATCTAAGTCTTGGATTTGAGAGGTGTTCCTTTTACTAAAAACGGCCTGGCCTGCTGACTTTCTTTTCTTTACATTTCTCGTGAAGCTGGCGGATGGTCAAATCATGTCAAGGGTTGGCTTGTTAGCCGTGACACCAAATTAAGATTCAGGCTGAACTCTACCAGCAAGTTTCTGGAGACGATTTAAGATGAAAAGAGCAAAAAAACCGAAAAACTGCTTATGATGCTGAGCAAGGAGATACCCTGCAATAATTGTAGTCTAAATTGTCACTTTACCTTGTTGAGAGAGATTGTTTTAGCGTCTCTCATATCTTGAGGAATACTGCATTCTTTCCAGCAGTGAGAGAGGAGTTCATGCCAGTGTTGGGTTAGAACGCCACATTTTAGTGTTTAACATCTCTGCTGGTTTGTTGTTCTTCCCACGTGCTTTGCAACTTGAGATTTCCTCTATTGATTTGCTTACTTCCCTAAGCTAGGTTCCATTTCAGGTTCAAAAATTTGAGGAATCCATGAAGTTAATTTTCTCCTTTGTGGACTGATTCCTCTTTGTAATGACGATAATTTTGAGCCATGTTCCGCTCATCTCTTAAGTTGTTTTCTTCTGTAAATGATTGGTTTTTCTATAGCTGATTTCAGTGGCTGATTTTGTAACGCATGTTTAAAAAGGAATATTCACTTGGCAGTGTCATGTCTTGCTATTCCTACGATCGAAGGTCTGCTGCATTGGCGAGCATACGTGCAGTGTGTTTTGCTTCTCTGTAGTTTGTGCAAGAGTAGTGAAGTTGAACTTTGGTTTCCTGCTAGTAACAATTCTCTTTTTTTTCTTCCTATATGGGGATTTACGAGTTAACAATAGTAAAAAGGTATGGATTTTGCAAACGATCTATGGTATG